CCAAGGTTCAGGTTCGACAGAGTCTTAACTGAAGATGTCCTACAGTCATTCTGTGCAGACTGAACCAAATCAGCAGACTGAACCATCAGCAGAGCCTGAACATCAGCAGACCTGAACCAGCAGCAAGACTGAAACCAGAGCAGACTGAACCATCCAGCAGATGAACAGCAGCAGACTGCAACCAGCAACTGAACCAGCAGCCAGACCCTGAACCCAGCAGCAGACCTGAACCATCAGCAAGACTGAACCAGCCAGCAGACTGAACCATCAGCAGAGCTGAAACCAATCAGCAGACTGAAACCAGCCAAGACTGAACCCAGCAGCAGAACTGAACATCAGACTGAACCGATCAGCAGACTGAACCATCCAGTGTGAACCATCAGCAGACTGAACCATCCAGCAGACTGAACCAGCAAGACTGAACCATCAAGACTGAAACCATCAGCAGACCCTGAACCATCAGCAGACTGAACCATCAGCAGGACTGAACCATCAGCAAGAACTGAACCATCAGTGTGAACCAGTAGCAGACTGAACCATCAGCAGACGACAGCAGCAGACTGAACCAGCAGCAGAACTGAACCATCAGCCAGACTGAACCATCAGACTGAAACAGCAGCAGACTGAACCATCAGACTGACCATCCAGCAGACTGAACCATCAGTGTGAACCATCAGCAAGACTGAACCATCAGCAGACCTGAACCAGCCAGACTGGAAACCATCAGACTGAACCATCGGCAGACTGAACCATCAGCAGACTGAACCATGCAGCAGACTGAACCATCAGACTGAACCATCAGACTGAACCATCAGACTGAACCCATCAAGCAGACTGAAACCAGCAAGCAGACTGAACCAAGCGACTGAACCAAGCAGCAGACTGAACGCAGCAGCAGACTGAACCATCCAAGCAAGACTGAACCATCAGCAGACTGAACCACAGCAGACTGGAAACAGCAGACTGAACAGCAGCAGACTGAACCATCCCAGACTGAACCATCAGCAGACTGAACCAATCAGTGTGAACCATCAGCAGACTGAACCATCCAGCAGACTGAACCAGCAGACTGAACCAGCAGAACTGAACCATCAGACTGAACATCAGCAGACTGAAACCATCCAAGCAGACTGAACCATCAGCAGACTGAACCATCCAGGTGTGAACCAGAAGCAGACTGAACCATCAGCAGACTGAACCAGCAGCAAGACTGAACCATCAGCAGACTTGAACCATCAGCAGACTGAAACCATCCAGACTGAACCAGCAGCGCAGACTGAACCATCAGACTGAACCATCAGCAGACTGAACCATCAATGTGAACCATCAGCAGACTGAACCATCAGCAGACCCTGAACCATCAGACTGAACATCAAGCAGACTGAAACCATCAGCAGACTGAACCATCAGCAGACTGAACATCAGCAGACTGAAAACCATCCAGACTGAAACATCAGACTGAACCACGCAGCAGACTGAACCAGCAGCAGAACTGAACCAGCAAGCAAGACCTGAACCAGCAGCAGACTGAAACCATCAGACTGAACCATCAGACTGAAACATCAGTGTGAACCCAGCCAGCAGACTGACCATCCAGCCCAGACTGAACCAGCAGACTGACCATCAGACTGAACCCATCAGCAGACTGACCAGAGAGACTGAACCAGCAGCAGACTGAACCATCAGACTGAACCAAATCAGCAGACTGAACATCAGAGACTGAACCTCCAGATGAACATCAGCAGACTGAACCATCAGTGTGAACCATCAGCAGACTGAACCATCAGCAGACTGAAACCCATCAGACTGAACCATTCAAGATGAACCATCAGACTGAACCATCAGCAGACTGAAACCATCAGCAGACTGAACCAGCAGCAGACTGAACATCAGTGTGAACCAGTAGCAGACTGACCAGCAGCAGACTGCGAACCAGCAGCAGCTGAACCAGCCAGCAGACTGAACCATCAGCAGACTGAACATCAGACTGAACCAGCAGCAGACTGAACCATCAGATGAACCATCAGCAGAATGAACCAGCAGCAACTGAACCATCAGCCAGACTGACCAGCAGACTGAACCATCAGACTGAAACCATCAGCAGAACCTGAACCATCCAGCAGACTGAACATCAGACTGAACCATCCAAGCAGACTCGGAACCACCAGCAAGACTGAACCCATCAGCAGACTGAACCAGCAGACTGAACCATCCAGACTGAACGCATCCAGCAGACTTGAACCATCAGCCAGACTGAACCATCAGACTGACACGCCTTTTCAATGCAGGCCCCCGTTAGTAAAAATCAGACTTTTAAGCCCTCGCTGAGAGATGGAGCATTCACCCTATGGTCTAATCATGGCATAATGATTATTAATCATTTATATATTGAGGGCGTCTTTGCCTCCTTTCCCCAGATTATGGCTAAATATAAGATTCCAAGAGTCACTTTTTCAGATATTTACAAATCCGTAGCTTTGTAAAGAATATTAAAAAAAAGCTCCCATTTTCCCTCCCAACCAGCAACCCCAGCTATTGATATGTTGCTTTTCCACCCCCAATATCAAAAGGTGCCATCTCACAAGGCTATGATAAAATCCTTTCTCTCAGGAGTAGCCATCTTTCAGCTATCAAAGCACAATGGGAAGAGGACATAGGTGAAGAACTTAACCAGGACCTCTGGGAGCATATTCTTCTTAGATCCAGTGTTAGTTAATACACTTACTGCACAAAACTCAGACTTTTTAAAATATATCCTAATATATACATTGATCCTGTTTGTGACAGGTGTAAACTAGCTCAAGGCTCTCTTATCGATATGTTTTGGTTGTGCCCGTTGGGACACTATCAGGGGTTCTCTGTGTGACCTTGGACCCAAATGTACTGATAGCCCTCTTTGGAGTCATGCCAACCACAGTGACCCTGCACAGGATCAAAGCAGATTTTGTAGCCTTCCTAATGTTACTGGTCCTTCTCCTCCCTCATATGAGTCCTGGATCAGAGATGCTCTCCATTTTAGTAGGCTAGAAAAAATGAAGCACACACTACGTGGATCCTCAGCTAAATTCTTTAAAATCTGGCAGCCTTTTTTTAACCACATAGAAACATTACAGTTCCACAGTGTACCTCAGTGAAGCTGACTGCCCTTCTTCTAACTTTCTAACATTGAACTCGACACCAAACGCTGATTCCACTTCTTATTTCTTATTTTTATTGTTATTGTGCAGCTTTGACTTCCTGGTTGACTGGACTGTGGCACTAATGTATTCATCCCTGTTATATAATAAGTGATGAAGACTATGTTCGTTGTATGTATCTGTTTTATACAATCATATTTTTGTGTAAGTGCAGTGAATATATTTAGGTTTGTGTGTGTGGATGTATGCGTATATATGCAGCCATCGTCTTACTTTTATAAATGCTTCTTGTCCCTTTTTCTTCTTCTTCTTGTCCTATACATCAATCACAAATGCACTGCAACAAAAACATCAATAAAATATCCATATTGTGCATTACGCTCTGTATGTATCCCCTGCTGTCAGACAGCGGCTCTATTTATAATAATACTAATAGAAACATTATTATTAATATTAATATGACTGACGGGTCGAGGTCTCTCCTGCCTTTCAGGTCAGTCAGGTGATGTCACAGTGACGCCAGCAAACAGGAAGTGCTCGGCCGTTACAGGAAGTGCCCGGAAGATCAAAGACAACGCGGCCGACTGGCACAACCTGATGATGAGGTGGGACAAACTCACCGAGGAAGGGTTCAACGTGGCGGGAAACATCGTCAACATCAAACTGACAAGGTGAGTTGGGACTTCCTGTCTGGGACTTACGTCTCTTCAGTGTGTGACATCACTTCCTGTTCACGCTGACCTGTTGGATTTATACGTTCTGATCTCTCTTCTGCTTCAGCTCTCAGAGCGATCAGCTGCTGCTGGTGGACGAGTCTTCATCATCTTCATCAGCGGGGCTGCAGCAGGGCGGCGGCGGCGGCGGCGGCGCTGAGCTGCAGGACGAATGCTGCAAACTGCAGGACGTCATCGATAAAATGGTCAGTGACCCACAGTGAAAGAACTCTCTGAAGTTCTGTAAGTGAATGTGTGGATCAATATTGTTGTTGTTGTTGTTATTATTATTAATATACAGCCAAATGATCTGAAACACATCAACAGACTGTGTACAACCTTCAGTCTGACACAGTCTGTAAACTGCTCAATATGGCTGATAACAGCAGATCAGCTGAACATTAACAGGACGAACAGTACGCAGCTATGGTAACAGTGTGTCGTCATGGTAACAGTGAGGTTGTAGTGAAACTGGAACGTCGTCGGTTTGTTTCTGATGTTTTCAGGTTGCCGTGGTGACAAAGATGGAGCGTCTGATGACATCACAGCGAGGAATTCAGGACCTAGAGGAGTTTCAGTTCGGACCTGAGGGCAGAAAGTTCCCTCTGTTTCTCACCTGGAACACCAAACACTTCGGTGAGTTCACCTGTTCACCTGAGCGCTGTC